GATTCCGTGCCAAATACACTGCTCAACTAAAGATCTGAAAAGACTTTGGGGAGTAGAGGAAGCACCCAGAGGGATGAAGATGTTTCTAAACTTCACTATCCAGAAGAGAACGATTACATGGAAGGGATTGTTGATGTCAGGAAGAGTCCATGGTGAGGGACAGGGTATCAGGGGAGTTGGAACCTTCTGTGGCAGGGGGCAGACAGGGGAGTCCGGGCTGTTTGTTTCTTGGCAGCCAGTGTGGGCTCTAGAAAAGGCTGTGAAGAACTGGCCAGCACTTCAGGTCCAGTTTAGATAGGAAGGCTCACTGATGAAGACTTGGGAAGGGCACTGGAAAGGTGAATGTGCTTGGGCTGGACACAGTGTCTGAGTCCAGGACAGAGTCAGCTCTCCAGAAACCACAGTGTGAGGGGCAGGACTCCAGGCAAGAGAACCTTATGGGCAGTTCCCAGGCAGGTTAGCTTTTTCCTTGCACTTTGCTTCTTTAGGCCTCATTTTCTTCTTTTCTTCCTCATTGAGTTTATTGGTACAATTTAGGTATACAGTACAGTTAAACTCCTCATTGGGTTCTTGTACCTTTACATGACAGGTCGTGGTTCTCATTTTTTCCCCTTACCCCTGCCCTCCTTTCACCCCTTCCTCCCTTCCCTAGTTATAAATTCTTTATTTCCATTTTTTCATGTTTTTTTTCCTTTTCCCTTATTACCTTTCCCCTACCCTTCCCATTTCCCCTACACTTTTAGCCCTTTTCTTCCTATTTCACACTGTCAATTCTATCATTAGAATGTTATTTACCATTATAAATATTCACACCAGAGCAACTATTCGTTATTTATACATGTGTGACTTATTTCACTTAGGAGTGTATCCTCAATATGTATCCATTTTCCTATGAATGACTCTAATTTCTCATTCCTTATGGCTGAGTAGTATTCCATTTAGGTCTGATTTTTTAGTACTTTAGCCATAGTAAATTTCATTGCTCCAGACACATTTTGGAGTCATGGGAAGAAATAAAGGACATAAACATGGCCCCAGGTATTTCAGTCCTGTGTGTAGTTCTACCTCTGCCATTTACCAGCCTTGTTAACTTAAACACTGGAAAAGGGGGCAAATATTTGGGTATTTAAATAAAGGCAGTTGTGACCATGATTATGTTAGCCCTTGAAGAGATCATTTACACCTCTGAGGAGTTTTAGGTTCATCAAAAACTTAGAGAACACGCAGTACTCCAGAAAAAAGAAAATCAAATCACCAAAAATGCTGATAAGCAAACATAAATAAATAAATTTTCTACAGGAGAGTCTTGCACACCACGCTACATGATTTCACTCCCACAGAGTCCAAAACTGATGTAACTTGCTTCAGGAACAGAGAAGTTAATAGCAAAAAACAACACCACCACCAACAACAAAAAACCCACTATCTTTCTGGCTGTGTGGGAAAGTGTATAAGCACTGTACCCCTAGGGCAAGATAATTTCTGCTGAGGATGACCCATAAGAACATATGTATCTGGGTAGAGGGAAAAATGTGCTGTGTTCCCCATTAATCTTTCTCCGTACTAATTAGTTATGCATTTACTAACATCTACTGGCAGTCACTGTTCCACGAATGATGCATCACCCTCTACCGCTATGCTTTTGGCTTTCTAACAAAAGTCGGTCAACCTCCCAAAAAAACTCTGCCAAAAGACTTCTAGACTTAATTGAAACTTTCAGCAGAGTAGCTGGATACAAGGTTAACACTCAAAAATCAATAGCCTTCTTGTACACAAATAACAGACTCACTGAGAGAGAAATTAGGGAAACAATTCCTTTCACAATAGCATCCAAAAAATTGAAGTATCTAGGAATCAGTCTAACGTAGGAAGAAAAAGACCTCTACACTGAATACTACAGCAGTCTGGAAAAAAGAGATCAAAGAGGATATAAGGAAATGGAAAGATATCCCCTGCTCCTGGGTAGGAAGAATCAACATAGTGAAAATGGCCATACTACCAAAACTGCTATACAGATTCAATGCAATGCCAATTGAAATTCCAACACTGTACTTCACAGAACTAGAAAAAATAATCCAAAAATTGATTTGGAACCAGAAATGACCTAGAATAGCAAAAGCCATTCTAGGCAACAGAAACATGGCAGGGGGTATCACAACCCCCAACTTGAAACTATACTACAAAGCCACTGTGATAAAAACAGCATGGGACTGTCAAAGAAAGAGATCTGAGGATCAGTGGAATAGATTGGAAGATACAGAAACAACTCCAGATGTACTCAGCTACCTCATCTTTGACAAGCGAGCCAACCATCCTCACTGGAGGAAAGATAGTCTCTTTCATAAATGTTGGGAAAACTGGATTTCAACCTGCCAAGGATTAAAACTAGACCCTTATCTTTCACCATGCACTGAACTAAAATCCAAGTGGATTAAAGATCTAAATATTAAAAAAGAGACACTAAATTTGCTGTAAGATAAGTTAGGCAGAACTCTTGAAGACACTGGCATAGGAAAAGACTTTATGAACAAATCCTCAATAGCACAGGAACTAGCACAAAGAATCAATAACTGGGATCTCATCATATTAAAAAGCTTCTGCATTGCAAAAAAAAAAACAAAACAAACCACACCAACAGAGCAAAGAAACAACCTACAATGTGGGAAAAATTTTACCAGCTGCTGCTCAAAGGGCTATTATCTAGAATATATAAAGAAGTCAAAAAATCAGGCCCCCAAATATAAAGACCCAATTCAAAATGGGCCTCTGAAATGAACAGAAATTTCTCAAAGAAGTAAAAGTAGCAAATAAATATATGAAAAAATGTTCAACATCACTGGGCATTCGAGAGACGCATATGAAAACAATGCTGAGATTCCACCTCACCCCAGAAAGAATGGCTGCTATCAAAAAAATCAGCCAATAACAAATGTTGGCAGAGTTGTGGAGAGAAAGGAACCCTTCTCTATTGTTGGTGGGCATGCAGACTCATTCAACCACTATGGAAATCAATATGGAGTTACCGCAAAGAACTAAGATTGGAGGTTCCATTTGATCCAGCTATCCATCTGTTGGATATCTTTCCAAAAGAATTAAAAGAATCATATCATGGTTATATATGTGCACCCATGTTTATAGCGGCACAGTTTGTAATAGCTAAAATTTGGAAACAGCCAAACTGCCTATCAGTTGAAGACTGGATAAAGAAGATGTGGTTTTTCTATAAAATGGAGTGGTACTCAGACATAAAGAATGAGAGACTAGAGTCATTAATAGGAAAATGGATGCATATTGAGGCCACACACTTAAGAGAAATAAGTAAGACACACATGTGTAAACACCAAATAGTTTCTCTGGTGTGAAAAACTGAAAGTGTGAATAAGATTCAAAGGGTATAACTGACAATGTGAAATAGGAAGAAAAGGGCTAAAGGTGTAGGACAAGTGGGAAAGGTGGGGAAAAGGAAATAAGGGAAAAGAAAACATAAGAAAACGAAAAAATATTGAAACAAAGTCTTTGTAAATAGAGAAGGGTGAAGGGGGTGAAGAGAGGGCAGGGGCATGGGGAAAAAATGAGAACCCAGATCTGTCATGTAAAGGTACAAGATCCCAATGATGAAAGTAACTGTACTATATACCTAAAAAGTACCAATAAATTCCATTAGAAAAAAAAAAGTGGGTCAATCTAGAGATTGTGGAATGTGTCCAGAAGAGGCCTATCTGCCTTGGGAACCCCTCACTTTCTAAATTATTGTCTCTGTCTCTTTCCTTCTTCATCATACCCTTGCCCAGGTGATTTGGGGTCTGATCAGGCCCTGATAGGAGACAATGTTATTTAATGTGGAGGCATGGAATTCACCAATCTGGAATTTCAGATTTTTCTGAAAGCCTGTAGACTTTATTACAAAGACCAATAATTACTCTCTTTCTCTATATTCCCCCAAGAAAACATCCAAAGTTTTGTTTTACTACAACAGCATCCAGATATAATTTAGAATTTTACCAAAATTAAATAATTTAATTAACACAAAAGGCTCAGGTTGTCTCAACTCAAGGAAAAACCTATCACCCAGTGGATCCTTGGATACTCACCTCAGGAGAAAATGCCCCTTATTCATCTAAATATGCAAAAGACACTAGTGTGCGCACTGTTAGAATGTGTTTGGACAGTAGTGTCAGTCTTTTTCTATTCTTCCCCAGGCAGATTTTTTTTCTGCTTTATAAATCAAGAGTAATCATTAAGGAATATTTATCATTCTAGATTTAGTGCCCTAATTTTGAGGCTCACCTTCTGATGGCTTGGCCAAGGCACACAAATGTCAGAGCCTTATCTATCCCAATGTGGCTGATTCAATATGAGCTCCCAAGAAGAGGCCGCAATGTCCCCAAACACTAGTGTTTAGGCTGTTCTCATCTAGAGCTCTCCTTCTCTCTCCTGAGTCTTTCTATTTGTTCTGTATCAAAGTATAGCGCACCATCTTCATTTTATAAAAGTTTCTCTTAGACTCCAAAAATCTAAGGTCAGGGGATGGGTTATTTTCATCTTAGCATCATTATTACAAGTATCGAACCTTCCAAAGAGCAAATACTCAATTGATAATGAGCCACTGAGCAAGAATACAGTTTATTAGTATTTGATTTTATTGATATTCTTGAATCAGTCTAAGGCAACTAGTAGTATCATTTGGAACTTTACAAAAAACAAGACGAGAGAATAAGGCAAACCAATTTTTGAATATGTTTCACATTGCTATTACCATTTAAGACCCCACCTATATATTGTGCGGTTCTCTGACACATTACCAAAAAATGCTTCCATTTCAAATCCATGCATTTACTCTTTTTTTTTTTTTTTTTTTTTTTTTTGGAACCAGGTTTCAAAATTGGGTCCTTGGGCTTACGAGGCAGGCAGCAGAACCACTAAGCTAAATCCCCGGCCCCCCAATGCATTTATTCTTAAAACAAAGCAGACAAAGATTTTTAAACATGTTACACAATATTAAAATTAATACACATAAATTTCGTGGCAACAATGAATGTGTGAGATGGTTAATTCATAAGCATGGATTCTGAAGTTAAGCAAATACTCTATCAAAAGAGAAAAAAAACATTCGAAAGATACTAAAATGTAACAGGAATACAAGTATAATGACCCGTCTAGCCCCATGTCTGCCCACCACTATTTGTAAGGTAGGAAGCCCTCCTCAAAAATACAAGAAATATTTGCCTTACACCTCACTATGGGATACAGTGGCTGGAGTATTCCCTGGAACTTAAGTAAATACAGAAGTAGAGCCACCACTAAGGGGCTTGGGCCCGCTCTTCCTGCTCTCTCAAAGCCTCTGCATAATGGAAAGGGAAGGCACTAGGGATGGTTTCATTAATCTTGGCCAAAAACTCGAGGACTTTCATCTTGCTGGTCTCAACATATGCCCTTGGGCCCCACAGGAATTCAAAACATGGAGGATCACTGTAAGGCACCTGGCGGTACACCAGATACTCTAACTTTACCAGATTTTGGGTGATGAGCTTTCGTGGCTCACCAAAGATGATGTGTTCCTCCCCATCATAAATCTCCAAAACACTCAGGAATTCCCAGATATGTTCTTCAGAGGCACAGTTGCCATGTAAGAAGATCAACGCAAGGAGAGGCATCAGAAGCCCATTTGCGGGGAAGTCCAAGCCACCCTCTGAACTCCCACTGTTGGGGTCATCTACTGTGCTATTAAGGGTGTAGGAGCCACTCCCAGGCTTGATTTCCTTCAACTTAAGACCAAAGAGCAGGTCAATCCTATCAGCGGCCATCTTGAGGATATCAGGGAATTGCCGCCGGAACCTTTTGTGGATAATCGTTAGCATTTCACCCTTTCTCATAGGCTGCTTCAATTTATACTTACACAGCAGGTAGTGAATCAACAATCCTGCCTTCTGCATTATGAGATTTTTTTCTATGTTAGCAGGAGAGAGTGTGGCCTCAGAGGAAGTTGCCCTTTCAGGCCTCCTGCCCTTAGCACCTTTACCAGACCTTTTTTGTGAAGGTGCACCAGCAGGAGGGGGAATGGGTGGAGTTTCTTGGGACTCCGGAGGAAGAGCAGTAGCAGAGGTGCTTGCAGCAACATCTCCAGAGAGAGAAGAGCAGGTGGGGGACTCTCCTTCCTGTGCCTGCTGGGTCTCACTTCGGGCTTGGCGGCGTTTCTCACGAGCTCGGAGCTTACTCTTCCGTCCCCGGGGCATGATGGCTGAGGGCAGCGACAGCGGGCAAGTCTGTGAGCTGGAGAGCAGGTGTTGCAGGAACCTGGAGGAGGAAGAATGAGACCCCCGTGAGTACTTTCAGAAGATGCCACTGTGCCTCTTGGCAGCGCCTCCGCATTGTTGTACCTACACTGTGTTTTTTCTTGCCCTGGCCCCCAGGACCCAGTGGAACGGGTGGTATTGTGTCTTAGGCTGTACCCCTCTCTAGGGCTGCCCTGGAGACTGCACCGTCTGACCGCGTATCCTCCATGTGTGTGCAAGTGTGCTCTCATTTCGCACAGAGAATCATCACAGGTGTTCTTGGTAGGGCCTGTCACCGCTTTTTTGTGCTACTCTGAATTTCAAGTTCAAGGCACCCCGGTATGATGAAATTAAAAGAGAGAATTTGTCTTTCTATCACTCCTGTGAGGAAGCAATGCTGACAGTTCTGTGGAGCTGTCTCTCTCCTGTGCTCGTTGGTCCTCAACCCTCACAAAGAGTGCTCTCTATTTCTTCACGCTTGATACAAAGAAATGCCAAGAAGTCTCAACTGAGAACCGTGCTTGGGTTTATGACAGGAGAGCGCAGCCAGAGTCACACTCTTGTTGTTTCTCAGATATGAGAGGCAACGGGATTTTGTGAAACCCATTTCTGATTAGGTGCTCATCTAAGTCTTCCTCCCCCAGTGCCTTCCTCTTTATTTAGCACCTATCTAGTATTGTTAATGATGCCAACTCTCTGAGACTTTTAAATATGGTGTGATCATCTGCTCTTTTGGCCTCACTACTCTGCCTGTAGTTTCCCAAGGCAAAAAACTAAGAATTGTGCACTGCCTTCACTGTTAAGGGATGGGTGATTCTTTCGGCTCTCAGGGTCCTCTCCTTGAAACCTGGCACTAACTGGAAATCTGCACCTGCTAATCCAACAGCATTCCACATCTCCTTCTAATCTCTCTGGGAGAAGTTCACGCGTGTTATGAGACCATTCCCATGCTCCTGCAGCTCTCGGGCTCAAGACTCTACATAGGTCATTGCTCTTTTGGAAGAGCATCCATGTACTCACAATGACCAATTCAACTCCTTTCGGAACCAGATTTTCTCCCAAAGGCGCTGACACATTACTCTCTAGGAATTTCCCCCCCGAGGTCATCCTTGGATGAAACATGGGGGCACCTCATCATGAGAGCTCTCACCTTTGCTTCTCAGGACAGAGTACAGAGAAAAGAAATTGTATGTTGCCTCTTTTCTGGTATGAAGTCTCATCTCTTGAACAGGATTTGGACTTTGATACCTGTCCTGGCCCAGGGCTATTTTCTTTATACTGAACTGGGGTGTTTGGTCTTTGCAACTCTAATCTCCCTTCTACACATCAGTGTAAGCTACCATCAAGTAAAGCCTCTTGGAGTTGCCCTGGGATTTCTGGAGACTGAGTGCTGTTCAGCAATCTTCCTTATGAACTAAGTAGCCTCCATTTCGTTACTCAGCCTCTGCCCTTCACCGGTACACTTTATGGAAGTCTGTACCATGATGTACAGAAACCATGCCCCAGAGACATGGGACATGTCTGCATATTCCTTGAACCTGAGTTGTCAGGAAGCGTGAGCTACATCATGTTAAGTCCTGTGTGTGTTGAGAGCAGGAATAGAAGTCTAGATCTCACCATTCTGGATTCTGAATCCCTCACCAAAGAATGGACTTTGCCTTTGACTCCTAGTAGGCTTTAGGACTGCTTCCTCTACTGAAGTGAACGCAGAAGACTCAGACCAAAGCACATCTCCCTGACTAGAGGGAGTGTTAGATTGCACCGCATCTTACTACCCTACTTGGTCTTTCACTCCCTTGTGTGACCAGGGCGTGGTGGGTGCTGCTCAGCATGGCCCCCTATTTTGAGGAAGCAGCTCTTATGCACGCGGGGCCTTAATGTAATTCCAAACCACTCTCGCTGTTTATAGAGATTTTCCTTTTTCTATAACACACCACCACTTCCAGAGATCCTCCAGGTGGAAAGTGCAGTACTGGGTTGGCAGAGTATGTGTGAAGGGTGGGGCGGATGGGTTGCCCTCTTTTGAGGCAGCTCTGCCCATTAATATCCAAGCCTGAGTGAGGGCGAGGAACTTTGTATGGCCCACTTCTTAATGAAAAGAAGTAATCCCTTCAATCTACACTGAGGTTCCTCACCTGAAACTTTGAATGGTCCTGAGAATTTATCCTCAGCTGATGAGAAACATCACCTCTCACACAGAGGTCCTCAAATTCAAAAAGGAAGTGAGGGTGAACCACATGAGGCCACAGGTGCCCAAGAGTTTCCAGGGCTAGCAGCAGGGTAAGCCTTAAAGGGACCACATTGTTGGGAGTCAGTAATGACTGAGTTCTTGCCTTGATATCCAGCAGAGCCTGGGAAATCTGTTTCTCCCCTCCTGAATAATCTCCAAAAAAAAAGGCAATACCTCACTCAATCTTTGTGGAGGAAACCTGTACATACCCACAAGGTTCATTCTGGGTGAGCCTCAAATACCTGATAGCAGAGTGAGTAGGCTCTGTGAGCCTCCATTCTTGGGGAACATTCCTCCCAGCAGCAGATAGAGTCGTCACCTCGACTCTGGTTTTATCCAAGGACCTGAATACATACACCTGTGATCTGAGGCCTTCCAGGAGGAAATAGACACTCAATTGGGTGACTCTGTCCAGTGCCTCAAAAAGCACAGGTATTCTGTGAATGCTAGTTTTTCTCTTGGTCCTGAAGAGAGTTCAGCAGCCTACAAACATAGCACTCACCTAGGCCCTAGAGTGGAATACTAGGCATGCTGCCAAGAGGATCACGTCCTAGAGCCTCAGAGCCCCAACACTTCTCTCAGTAAATGCACAGGATGTCAAGGCATTCACTACAAGGCTTCTGCTTGGAATAAACAAGAGTAGAAGTTATAATAAATTATAATTTAATTACTTCTCCTTTCTTGAATAAACTAAGTAAATGCATATAAAATGTATTCATTGTACAAGAAATGCAAGATTGTATTGTGTTATACAAGAACTGGTAGCCTTAGTATTTTATGTTTTGAATATAAAAATTTTAAAGATATGTTCCTTCACATTTTCAAGAATATCGCTGGTTATATGACATTGCTCTTTAAAAGACAAAAAATTTCAAGTAAACTTGCAAACAGGTGATCAACATCACTAGCCATAGGAGCAATGGAAATATAATCCTTAATATAGTTCATAGTATGTTTATTACAAAAGTTATCATTAACAAAAGAAACACAAAAAAAGGAATGATAAACTTGATAAGCTTGTGCAAAAAGGGAAAATTTTGTATAGATGATGGGAACTTAAATTGTTACTGCCATCATACTATAAAGTTTAGATGTTCTTCGATAAATTAGAATAAAACTGCCATAGAATCCATCAAGCCTTCCCTGAGTATATGCCAAAAGGAAATGAAATAACTCTACCATGGAGAGACATGTTTGGCGTGCTTATGGCAGCATATTCTCAAGAGCGAACATATGCAAAAGAAGTGTTCATCACTGCTGTCCAAAACTGCTTAAAAATTGTGGTATACACAAACAATAGAGTATTAGTCACTCTTCAAAAAGGGCACCCTGCCTTCATCCACTAGGGGAACTTCCACTATGAGAAATAAGTCAGACATGGAAAGAATGATAGTGTATGATGACCTTTAGATTCAGAAACTAAAACGAAGGAAAAACATGAATCCACAGGAGGAGTCAAAAAGGGGAGGAAAAATGTTGGGTGTTGGGGGTTATGGAGATATAGATGGAAGACTACAAAATTGCCATCATGAAGGAAGAATAAACGAAGACGCTGCATGTACAACAGGAGATCTGCAGCAAATCAGATTGAATACCATACTGCAAATTTATTAGAGGGGACTGTGCTATCTTTCCACAAAAACAGGCAGTATGTGATAGAAAGGGTAAGTTAAATGGCTTCTGTGCAGTAATTTCTGCTATATATATAGTATCAACATGATGTTGTGCTCCTTAAATTTATGTGATAAAAATAAACCTCTTACTCATGACACATTCTGTTGTTGCCGCTAGAAAGGATATGGAAGAATGATCAATATATTGATTAAAAAGAAAAATTTACAATTATAGATATGATTATATATTATTAAACTAGAAAATGAAACTAAATAAGTCTATTAAGTGGAACACATATAAAAGAGCCAAAACTCAAACAAACAAGTAAATCCTCAAGTGACTAAAGTAGAAGGAGAATAAAAGTGCTGCCGAGTGTTACTCCCAACTCCAAACTGGTCCACAGTACTTAGAACGCTGACCTCTGCTTTTAAGCAGAGCAAAGAATGACTCAAAGCTATCTAGATGTGAGATGAACCCCTGAATGTGGCCCGACTATGTGTGCTAGTTAGAGCAACAGTGCTAACGCTGGCTGACACTCTGGCTCAGGCTCTTCAGTTCTCAAGTCTCAAAGTCTCTTTATACTTTGTCAAGGCAGGGAACTCCGAGCCTCCATTGGCCAACAGAAGGGCCTGGCGTCTTTACCACACTCATGCTCTGCTGGTGCTTCCTCCATTATTTGAACAATCTCACTTTGATTTCCTATAGATCCTAAGACTCTGTTGTTCCTGACCTGACACTGGTCTTCCTTGAACAAAGCTTAACAGTCCTTCACATCTGGGAAGAATGTGTGAAGTGACACTGGGCCGGACATCTTTGCCTGGGCTCCCTGGGCCTGAAGGAAGCTGGGGAGCAATCTATTTGTACCTTGAAGATGCTGCCACATTCTATTCAGCTGTTCTCATTTGTGCATATCCTCATGTAGGCTCTTGTGACATGGGTTAAAGACTTCCTGGATAATGCTAAATGCCTGCAAGCTCTGCCATTCCCTTCCAAAAGACGGGCAGAAAATGAGTCCTGGTCCTTGGGCTGATGGGAGATGGAAGAAACTAACAGAAGGTGGGGGTGGTGTTCACAGGGTGGGCTATAATAGGAAAACTTAATTTTGACAACTTTTTCATTCCCAGCTTCATGTAGAGTCTATGTACCTTCTGTCCTCCAATATTTATTGTGTGTTTAATAAGAAAGTTAACCTCATGATGTTTCAGACCCTGATTTTTTCAACAAAGCTGGTCTCACATCAGCATGTGATCCTATTTTCACCAATATGATTTTCATTTCCTTTTTCAAACATCTCACTGGATTTAGCAATCTTGTTTTTCTTGCTATCGCTTTAACTTCAATAATTTGAATATAGTAGGTTTTTTATTACCTCTGTGGTGTTTGTAATAATACAAATAAGGGGACGCGACACCTGCCTCAGGTTGCGAGAACTGGAAATGTGTGAGCTTCAAATTAACTCAAACCAAGGCTCTATTCCCAGACTTGTGAGTTACCAGCTGTGTGAATTGTGCAGGTGTCTAGGAGCCTTTGGTTCCATAGGAATGAGATGTTTCTGGCGCTCCTTGTCTTATAGGCCTGGCGGAGGTGTGTAACAAATGGAAAGCACTTAGCACAGTGATGAGCTATATAAAGATCCCTCCCTTGGGTCAGGAGGCTACATAGTAAGTTCCTGGGCAGTCTCTACTACATAGTGAGACCCTGTCTCAAAAAACAAAAATACAAATTTTTAAAAATTGTTACAGTAAGACATGTTGCCTTTATTCTCCCACAAAAATACCTTACCTAGTTTCAAACACTTATCCCATCCTTTTTGTTACTACCTGAAACA